ATGCCTTGGAAAAACACTTTTTTCTTTTTGGGGTAGTTCCACATTCAGACCCTCAGCAGGAAAGGAGAGTAGCTGGTCAGGGCTCCCCAGATGTTGTAGATCAGGAACATCTAAGTTATGCTGTGATACAGAACAACCCTACAAACAAGCCCAAATCATAGCAGTAGTGTTTCACAATAGTTTCTCATTCCTCCAAGAAAAAATAAAAAAGGTGGACTGATACGGAATAGAAGGAGGGATGGATGGACAGATAAGTGACAAAGCGAATCAGCCAAATGCTAATTGTGAAATCCTGGTGATGAGTATGTGAATGTTCTCTGTACAGTTCTTTCAACTTCTCTGTGGATGTCAACATTTTTCACAATAAAATGCTTCGCAAGCTTATGCTACAGGTCTGACAAAGGTCGGCTAGGGCCCTGCTCCATAGCCTCTCACTCCAGGACCCTCGTGATGGGTCATCTTGCAAGTGACTGCTTGTCATGGCAAGAGAAAAGAAAGGTCTGCCGGGTATTGCACAGAGAGTTGGATATTTCAGCCCGGAGGGACATGCATCACTTCTGCTCACAACTCATGGGCCAGGGAACTTACCCCAGGCCATGGAAGTGCAATCCTACCAAGTGCACAGAAAGGGGAGGACTGAAAACACTGCTGGGCAGCACAAATACTTACGCTGGCAGAAATAAACTTCTCCAAAGAACGATAGACCTCAGGGCCATCATTATTAACTAACTTGAAAAGGCACAGTCACTTCAAGCAATGTCAGTACGAGAATTCAGAAGCTTTTTCTTTCTCTTCCACTGGCCTTCATTGGTCTCCTTTAAATGGAGCAGAACTAACCCACTAAAGGCTAATATATTCCAAACTCTCGATGGCTGGTTTTTCAGTCAGCCAGCTAGTCAGCCAGCCAGCCAGCCAGCCAGCTCTTTCTAGAATCTCATTACCTTTCTATTGAGTCAGCTCATTTTCACAATCAGTAAGAATTCGTGGATGTCGTCCAGACAACTTAAGAAAAGCAGGAGTCAAATGGAGGCTGATGACGCTTTTCAGAAATGGGGTAATAAAATAAAATATTTGAGTAAACAGTATTTCACAATTACTCTTGACCTGACATTTTTAGAGGAGTCAGGAAAGCCTTCATAGCTGAGGTGACATTTAAGCTGCCACTTGGAGGCATTTGCTAGGTAGAAAATGGAGCAGGGCCTTCCAAGCAGACGGAACACACTGTGCGTGGCGGGGAAAGCATTCTGGCTCGCTCTGTCTGAAGGAGAATCACAGCTCTGCCGTGGCCAGAGTCTAGAGTGCCTGTCGGGATTACTCTTAGAGCACTAGGGTGGAACTAAAAATATTGTTGTCACTTTCATTGGTTAGTACAGGAGAGATGGAATACTATGTTTATTAAGGCAAAATTTAATTAATCTTACCTAGTGCTGTAACAGCAGTTAGTATGACTTCAGAGAGAAAAAGATCATTTTTGAGTAACTTGCTGGGTAGGGCACTATCAGTTTCCAGAGTGAATACCGAGTTTCTGGAAATTGAATGCGTCTATTCATTGACAATAATTCATTGTATATGAGTTTTTAATCTATCCATGGTAATTTTCTTTGGGAGAAACCACTAATCTACTAGGCTACAAACAAATTAAAGCAAAACTACCAGGTTAGAAAAAAATAAACACTGCGGGAAGATGGGCACATGATGAAGTCATTTTAAATGAAATGTTTTCAGGAGGAAGGTGATGGGGCAAAGAGGAAGCAGGTGCTTCTCACGTGCTATAATTTATCATCATTCCATAAATGAGAAAACTGAAAATCAAATACAGTGGTTTTTAAGAGCAGCTGTTTAAACTTGAGCCTTATTTTTAAACTTCTGAGACATTTCGCTTGTCTGTACAATGAAGCCGTGACGGGTGCTGCTCACCTCACCGAAGTGTCAGGAGGGTTAAAAGTAGTAAAGCAGGGGATTTTTGACATCATTCCTGACCTTTCCCAGATTTTTGAGTTCTCTGGTTCTGTCCTGATGTTTGCCTATTATTCAAAACTGGGTCTTTACAAAAGAGACTTGATGAAGCCTGATTGTGAAGACATACTATTTCAAACTATTTTTAAATAATTAAAATGTTATCTCTGTATGCAACCTTTTATTTTTAGTATTAAACAAGAGCACAAACTTTGGTCATTGTTTCAAATCCATGCATGGATTATCCTAGGAAAATAAGCTTTATTCCTTTAAGTGCCTTCAATTTTTCTCTTGGCATTTTTAATAATTTTGTTTGAAAATGTAATTTGACCTCTCTTGAAAAAACATACTGAATAATACTATGTGCAGACACTACTTTAAAGGCTTTACATACATTCATTTATTTAATTCTCACAACCATTCTACAAGGTAAATATTATTATTTTCTCCATTTTCCAAATGATAAAATGAAGCACAGAGATACTAAGTGATTTGCCTAAGGTCACACAGTTAGTAAGAGGCTCAGGTAGGACTTGAGGAATCTTGGCTCCAGAATCTGAACTCCTAAACATTGAGTCATGATGTTACATTTCTAAAGATAATGGATCACCTTCCTAAATGAATCAGGGCCATGATTGTATGTATCAGTTTTTATTTCGTATCCACAAAAACCACTGTGATGTAGTACAGAATTGTGTCTCTAGAATCCCTATTACACTTTAAAAAAAAAGATTTTATTTACTTATTTTAGAGAGGGAAAGGGAGGAAGAAAGAGTGGGAGAGAAACATCAGTGTGTGGTTGCCTCTTACACGCCCCCTACTGGGGACCTGGCCTGCAACTCAGGCATGTGCCCTGACTGGGAATCCATTCGGCCGCCCTTTGATTCGCAGGTGGGCACTCAACCCACTGAGCCACACTTGCCAGGGCTCTATTATACTTTCTGACTTACTTACATACTTTTTACACTTTTCTTTGTTCTCTGTCTGTGAAAAAAATTGTTTTCAGTAGACCTACCTCCACAAACTGCCTTCTTTCTCCTAGTTATTCTGTTTCCAATTTCCTGAATGCAAGAAACCAGATCACCCTATATGTCTTGAAACGGGAGTCATGAGGTTTTGAGAGGACTCCAGCCTTTCATGAATGGACTTTGTAACATCTGTGACAGGGATCTTTATTTTTTGGCATCTTTTCTGTTCTCAGCTGTGATCCAGATAGTTTAGATGGCTAGATAGGTGACTTCTCAATAATCATGGAGTCACAAAGTATAAATTCAAGGCATTTCCACTCTTCCACCTGTTCAAAGTGGTTTAGTCATCAACATAATTAGACGGATGGCCTTGTTCCTCAAGCTTCTGGGTAGCCATCTGATGCTTCGAAGTAGGGAGACGTGGCTACAACTTGTATAAAAATAACCCTTCCGGATGGCTGAGGGGCAAAGTTACAACTCAGCAGCTTGATATAGCTGAGCACTCAAGTTTTGGAGTAGGAGGAGAGCTACGCGAGAAGGAGCCAGAGACACTGGGCTGAAGTCCAATCATAAGTGGAACAGTATATGCCAGGAGAGATCACGTAACGTGGCAGATTAGCTGTTAAGATTTCCTGTTTACTTCATCTCTATCACCTCCCCACCTCCCTGATTCAGCCTTACCTCTTAGCCCCAAGGGAAGACACACGCACTTTTTTTAAAGGAGTATAAAGTAGAGGTAAAAGCTATAAATCTTAGAGGGCTTTAGAATTCTCTTAGCCTACCTCCTTGTTCTGGAGACAAGCAAACTGAGACTCAGAAAGGTGAAATGAGCACTGTGCTCCCTCAGACTCAGTGGCTGCAGCCCCTGCCCAGGGCTCAACTTCCGGCTCCTCGGTGGGACGGTGTGTGCACTAACAGGCCGCATCCCCCAGCTCTGCCTCACATCATTCCAAAACCCCAAATCCAGGCTTCTCCTGAAAAAAAAAAAACAAAACCCGAACATGGAAATATTGCAAAAGCCATGCTATTACTTCCACCTCCCCCAAACAAATACCAAAGTCTGATGAATCACCAGTTTGAGACCCCTTGTATCACAAAGGAAAATATTGGCTAATCAAATATTTCACTAAATTAAAATACACAGCTTTCATATTTCCCTACCTTCTAATCACTGCCTTTCTATTGGATGTGCGGGGAGAAAACTTAAGCGGCCATTTGTAGTAAATACATTGTTTTAAATACCTCAGTGTCTGCTTAAATAATTGAGGGTTGGTTTTTAAAATAATCATAAGTAGAAATGGGTTAATGCTTACATTTATCAGCAGATGTAATAGGCACTATTTTTTTGGAAAACCAAGAGCACCGAGTTTACGCTGCTCTCCTAACCTCGCTCCTGACTAGCCCAAACCCAGGGCAGTGCTGTGCCCTGCTGGCAGCGCCGCCTCACTGCAGGTAGGCAGCAAAGGTGGAAAGGGCTTCAGTGCCAGCCTTCCAAACTCAGGTCTGCAGTAAACGGACTCTTTGTATTACTCCTATTAGCCTTGAATATTCTTACATGAAGTGTTTATTTGCAGGTAGCAAAAAATAAATCCCCAACTAACTTTTCCCAACACAATAGGATGTTTGTTACTTTTCACAAGGACATTTCTTGTGTTCTTAGGAATTCATCCTCAAGCTTCACGGAGGGTGGGCTTTGTACCAGGTGCCTGGCAATGCCCCGGTAGCAGGTGAGGAGGTGTCCACCCTGGTGTACACATACTATTACAGCACCATGGCCTCAATCCGCTCGGCAAAATAGCCTGCTGGTGAGGAGGTGGGCATCACGGAAGAATGGAGAGAGGACAGGGACAAGTGCTTTTTGATTATCCATTAAGTGCCTGCGCCCATTCCAGCCGGGTCTGAGCAGGCTGGAGCACTCCTGGCGATTGTCAGTGCTGGTCTATGAGCAAGTGCTAACTCCGGTCCAGGTCCACCCCTGACTTTGCAGTGCAGATGAGGATCCGAGAGGAGCTGGCTGGGATCAGAGGTCCACCTGCTGAATAGGTATGGCCCAAATTAAGAAGTCAAGTCAGAGTATGATTTTCAATACCTTTATTACGAAATATCAAAAGTTGATTACAGTTCCATACACGGTTTTACAAAGTTCAAGTGAAGGGGGGTACGGGGATGCCATCAATGTGTGAGCTTGCACAGCAGAGTGGAAGAGACCACCCTGTAACTCCTGTCACCCTGTCTGGCAGTGTGGTCCACACCCACGCTTTCCCCCATTTCCACCAGGTCACAGCACAATACCTTGACTTACTTGAAAGAGTTTTAATACATTATAAATACTCGTTAACTATTTCTCCTTTTGTTTTGTCGTCATCCTTCCCTGGAAAAGCTGGGCTGCTTAAAGGAAGCACATCTGATCACATTCACTGCTGTTTGTATTACATTTTCACAAAGCCTGCTTCCAGAGCTGCAAAACATTGCAGGTTGCATGTTACCATATTACCCTTGGGAGAGAACCCACACACATTGTTATTTTTTATTTAACACTTAACAAAAAAAAGGGAAATCACTCAATTTAGAAACAAAACACCACGGTCATTCAGTGAAACAGTTAAGGGTGGGGTACGCCTGTCAATTCCACGGAGGTCCTCACAAGCGGCCAATGGCGTGACCGAGAACAGCTGGATGCAGTAACACCAACACAGAGTACAGAAAGGGAGCTTCTCGGGCACGGAACACCATATTCTTTTGTTGGGGACATTGCATCAGAGGGGAATTACACTTTCAAGATAACCGGGGCTGGTAGGTCATTGGCACCCAACGGAAAACAGCAATGGTGTGGTGAGCCTTGGTGAAGGCTCCTGCTGGGTTTACCTAAAAGTAGATTTCTGGAGAGATTGTCCAGCAACATCCGAAGGAGCCATCTTCAGAGGAAGGACTCCTTGTTCACCCACATGAGACTGCGTGTCTCGTTGGGCTTGCATTCATACTCAATGACAGAGAAGGGGCTTCCCCACTGGCAATGGTCTCGCTTATGGTAATTGTAGAACTTGACTTGCCACACTGTCTCGAAGGTCCCGATGTCAGTGAACTGAGGGAAGAGAAACGCACCCGGTGAGAACTTCATTCTGCCCAGAGCAATAGACAAGAGTTAACATCGGTGAGGTCCGACATCACTGGGATAATCAGTCAAGGCTCTTTGGGTCGGCGGAGCTTAGATCTTTACTTTAATGAACTATCTTCCTTTATTATGGGAGTCATTTCCCTGAAAATGTCTTTATGAAATCTTATTCCCACTGTATGAGTGGCATTTGCTATCGTATTGTCTTTAATAACAAGAACTCCCCAGATGTATCTGTTTTCCAAATTTAATTTCTGGGAACCACCTTAGAATCTCAGAATTTTATTTATTTATTTATTTTTTATTCTTTTCAAAGATTTTATTTATTTATTTTTAGAGAGAAGGGGAAATGAGAGAGAAAGACAAGGACAGAAACATCTATCAGTTGCCCTTCACACTCCCCCGACCAGGGACCTGGCCTGCAACACAGGCCTACACCCTTACTGGGAATTGAACCAGTGACCTTTTGATTTTCCGAAGGACACCCAACCCACTGAACCACACTAATCAGGGCAGAATCTCAGAATTTTAGAATTTACCACAGAAATGGGGACTGGGAAGGGAGAGGGAATACTGTTTAATAGCTGTCTTTTGGTTTCTGTTTCAAAAGCCAGCTGTACAAAATAACTTAAGTACAAGATAAGCTACAATTTCCCCCTCCATCATCAATTTCAATTCCAGGGAAAATTTTATTGGAAACATTTGATTGTTAAAGACCCTACTTTTACTTTTGAATATTACCGAGTGTTTATAACTCAAAATCCATACCCATACCTCAGGCTTTGATCACTCCACACCCAGAACCACATCTGAGTGCCTTGTAGGTGTCTTGCACATAAAAAAATTTGTATAAGGCGTGAGTCTTACTCTCAAGAAGTCTGCACGCTACTTCCAGAAGGTAGGCCCTGCAAATAGGTGCACAGAGGTCTTCTGAACTACAAGCGAGCAATTCCCATGGAGCTGAGAAGAGGGCACAGAATACCCTCGAGGCCACTGGGCAAGTGCTCAAGTGGCTGTGGGGTAGCCTGACCCGGCTACCACCTCCTGGAGCTATTTAGGGGAGCTGGCATTAAACAGCGTGATGCTTGTCGTTATTTTCTCCTCAGATCCTTCCCTGTCATGGGAGGGGACGGGGACTGACTTGGCAGGATTCTTAGACTTGTCAGGAGCCAGAAGACATAAACAGGAAGGGCAGTGAGAAGTAAGCGCCTTCTGCCTGTGGCTGCTACGGGAGGAGGGTGGTCAGGTGCTCCCAGACAGCCTTCCAAGATGCTCTCAACATTATATCCTGCTCCATTGCCTCATCCTGCTAATTTAATTCCGAAAACAAGATTTGGCTTTCCTTTGGGAAATTTGCTTGACTTGAAGGAGTGGATGATGTGCCTACAGTCCACAGATCTACCCCCAGATATGGAAGTGAAGTATCTCTGTTTAGAGAGTCGTGGCTTAAAGACCTGTACAATTTTATAGCAGCTTTTCACACCTCACAGCCTCAGCTTGGGATCAGCCCAAATGTTTCAGCATTCACCTGATGATAGACAGGATTTGGTATGTGTATAAAATGGCATTTTACTCAACAGTAAAAAGGAGCATACTGATTCAGGCAGCAACAAGGCTGGCTCTGGATTGCAAAGACATGCTGAGCAAAAGAATCCAGACCCCAAAGAATACATAATCTGTAGTGACAGAATATAATCTATGCTGACAGGGAACATCTGTGGTTACCCAGGACCTCAGGTGGGAGGAAAGGACGGTGACTGATGAAAATGCACAATAAGAAACTTTTTAAGATGAGGAAAATGTTTGGGTGGTTTTAGGAGTATGTGTATGTTTGTCAAAACTCACTAATCAGTGGGCTTAAAATGCTTATTTTTATTATATGTAAACTGTACCTCGAAGTTGATTAAAAATAAAAATATTGCTCTTTAATAAGCTACAAGGAAACAGTTATCACAAATATTGCCAATGGGAACTTAATTATAGTCTTTTAGTAATTTATACCAAGTGAAAGGTGTGACTATACTTGGGTTCAGCAATTCCACCTACACTTTTTCTTAAGAATATCACAGAATTTAGAGTAGTAAAAAATTGAACACCAAATGTCCATATTTAAGACATTAAGAAAAATAACTAAATAAAATTAATTAAAAAAGACATTAATTATGGCAAATCTATAAAATAAAATACTATGTAGCATTTTAAAATGTAAATATTTAATAAACTTTTTCTAATGTTTTATATTGTTATCTGAACCAAGCAGAGTACCAATAAAAATATATAGTATTAATTCAATTAAAATTATAAACGTTAATGCTGGAAATACTGATGGATTAAGTTTTATTTTCTTCTATGTACCCATTTGTATTTTCAAAATTTAATAAGTGATTTTTACTTTAATAATCAGAAAAAACATGTTAAGCCAAACTGTGAGTATTTACACATACTACCAAATTGTTAATATCCTTAATATAAAAGATTATATGAATTAATTAATAAGAATTACTAAGCTCATTTGGATAAAACTAGAACACAGATCATTAAAAAGAAAAAATGGCTAATATATGAAGATATTCAAAAGTACTATTATTATTCATTAACGCAATATACTTTCACTGAGATCTTATTTACCTATTGACTTGGAAAAAATTTCTAAATACCAGAAGCTAAGCAACCAACTATAAGAAAACATTATGAGAATGTGAAATATTCATAGGATGGATTTATACAGGGTGAGGCAAAAGTAGGTTTACAGTTGGGAGTATGTGAAACACAGAGTTTATTTTTGTCTTATTATTTATTAATTATATATTATTTTCCATGTGAACAACTGTAAACCTATTTTTGCCACCTCCTCCATATATCCATTAAATGAGCATTTAGGGTTTTTAATGATGAGAGAAAGTGATGAGAATAATGCTAACAAGAAAAAGATGGATAAGAAGAGTTTATATATAGTATGAGCTCAAATTCATAAAATAAGGCAATAGGAAAAATGAAAAAATAATAATAGAGTTTCTAAGTAAAGAAACTGAGTCATCTTCTATCTGTTTTACTCAGATATTTTTTACAATCAATATGTACTTTTATAATCAGAAAGAACATTTTAAATGGTGAAATGGATTTCATCTCTGAAAATTTAACATATATATTCCTCAAATCCTATGGATTTTCACATATATGCTAATGAAAATTTTAAGTTTGTGTACAACAGAGTATAATTAGTAAGAGTAGAATTAAGTCTCATTTTAGAAATCACCAAGATCTTTAAAGAGGGTTTAGTATTACTTATTATTATTGACCAGCATGGGGCATTACACATTTTAAGCGTAATCTGATTAAATTGAGTTGTAAAAATATTTTACAAACACTAGCTAATCTTTTGAGGGAAGGAACCTGAAATCGTGCTAGGTAAGTAGGAGAAACAATGCTGAGGACTTTGGTGGAAACAGACTAAAGTTGGTTATAATAAAAAAAAAAAAACAGAAACAAACTAGGGTAATTATGAACATAGGTAAGAAAAAACTTATGTCTGAATAACCTTAAAACTAAGAAAGTCTCAGCCTAAGAATTCTCAGTAACGCAAGAGACCAAAATAGGAACCTGCTGACAGCAATACTCACAGCTTAACAAATGGCATACGAAGTACCTCGTGTTTTGGTTTTATTTCCCCTTTACGAATGCTGAGTCCAAGGGCATGGTGTAGTAAACTTAACTGGACTAACTATGCATGTATTTTCCTCCTTACCATGCCTCGGTTGTTTTCACTTCCCAGTAGCCTCATTTCTTCCTATTCTTTCTCCTGGAGTTCTCTTTTCTGTGCATCTCACTACCTAGCTCAGAATTTCTTCTCCTCTGGCTAAGAACAGATGGAATCTTAAAAGCCGATATTCTTGAAGAACAGAAGCAATTACATAGGCTCTTTACTCACTCCCAGCCCATCTGTGCTTTCCAAGGAGAGTTTACTCAGGCAGGCTGCATGGGTGATGCAGTTTATGCAGGTATAATTTTGTGCATTTGTATAGTACTATCTGTTTTATATAACACTTTCTCATATGTCATTCCACATTGGTCTTGTGACCGATTTTAACATCTCCATTTTACTAAGATTCAGAGAGGCCAAGTGACTTGCCCTTGGTTCAGAGTAGGAAGCCAGCTAAGGACAGGGGCAGGTCAAGAACCTGGGTTTCCTAGTTCCTATCTAGGAACTGTCATCACTGTTCCAAACTGTTTACATAAGCAAAAGACTAAGAGTTGATAATTGGTGTTTTCTCTTTTCTCCTTGAGTGAGAACACACATGGATTGTCGCCTGTTGGATGCTTTGCGACTCTGCTATGGACTGAATGTTTGAATTCTTCCAATATTCAACCCTCAATCCTCAATGTGTGGTATTTGGAGGTGGGGCCTTTCAGAGGTCACAAGAGTGGAGCCCTCATGAACAGAATTAATCCCTCTCTCTCTCTCTCTCTCTCTGCTCTCCTTCATGTGAGGACACAGCAAGAAAGCAGCCGTCTGTGAATGGGGAAGCATGTTCTCACCACACACCAGATCTGCTGGCACCTTGACCTTAGACTTCCAGCCTTCAGAACTATGATAAATAAGTGTTTGTTGTTTAAACCACTCAGTCTATTTTGTTCTGAAAATAACACTCTACTACACACCTGGACAGCTGCTACAGTGTCCTTACGAGCTGCAAGCCCTGGTACATTTTTATTTCACAACTAATGTGAAAGAGAAGCCATCAGATGCCAAGGGTAGAAGACACAGTTGTTGACCCTGGTAATAAATAGTAATCTGAAGAGCTTGTTTTAAACAGTTTCTGTGTCTTACTACCTGTTGGCCTAGAACCCCGGAGTACTTCCCTGTATTCACCATGCCACCCACCTCCACTGGAGATATGTGGTATTCACCAATACTAAAGTCATTCAGAAATCCATTGGCTTGGGAGCACAGAACAAGCTTATTGTATTAA